CGGAGGAGTGTTCGCGTACTATCTCCAATGAATAGCTCAACAATGAACTAAAGATATCTTTGTTTTGTCCCCCGCTTCTTCTCGGCTTTCGGCCACGGGACCTTCGTCAAGGTTGCAAATATAACACTGACATTAGTGAGGTTAAACACGCCACGAGGCGCCTACTGAAATGACACCATTTACTAAAGTACTCAGTATCTCCACTAAGGTACCGGAATTGTCAAACTACCGCAATAGGTACTTACTTCATGGTTAGAAGTAGTTAACGTGCGTGAGGTGCAAAGAAATTGATATATTAATATAGATGGAACTTCATTTGAAATATACTAGTATTGATCAATGTGCGAAATATAAACTTATCCTACTCCATTTTGACTAATCAAAGTCAGTTCGGGGTAGGGCTAGCGCAATCCGACGAATCATGATCGGAATGGAATCTGAAATATCCTAGCCTCACATAAAAATTCAAATGCAGCGATAGTTCACCAAATAGTTCGACATATTCCGATATTTCGGCAGTTCTCCTAATCAGGTTTACTAAATATAGAAATGTCAATTCGCCATGAGGAGTTGTAGCTATGTTTACACGTGAGCAAGTGGTATTGCACCTTAGTTCATGTTACCCTCACCATACCTAGGAAAGACTTACCCTACGGATTAGCCAATAAAATCGTGTCGGAATGAGTATCTTGTTGGAAAATTCATGGTACCGCTGGTGTAACCGTGCCCATCATCCGGTTAGTAACCGGATGACTAGTCGACACCTCTTCGGTCCAAGGTGTCTCTTCAGTCCAAGGTGTCTCTTCAGTCCAAGGTGTCTCTTCGCACACCAACAAGTCCTCTTGCGCAACCAAGGTGTTCCCCCGACGATACATCAATGGTTGGTTGCGCGTAGCTTAGTGATAGCGTAGTAGTCTTAACGCTATCAATTCATTCTTGATTCTACCATCTCCTGCGTCTTCCTCTGCGCACGCTCACACCTGGTAGCACTCCACGTTCGTCCAG